ATATTCAGACTCAAACTTGAATTGCGGTAATAGAAAGAATTTATTTACAACTGTAAAAATTTTTACGACCCCTACAAAATTTTGTTTAGAAAAATTACTCTATATTGTCAAAATTTAACTTGCGAAATTTAAATGAGCATTGTCATTTCTTTTTCCCATTAGAGGTTTTCGAGCTAAATCGATGTCATTGCCTCGATCAAATCCAAGAAATAAAATTCTCGCAATTTGCTAAAATTACTTTAACCAATTTCCAAAAATTTAGTATGCCTTCCTTTATAAATTTTTAAATTGAAACACAATGACGAATGCTCGCCACTAGATCTTCAAATTTCTGCAACACAAATAGTTTGGCAAGTTTATAATACTTTTAGAGCATACGTTCGTACAAATATAAATAATTGGTTTCTACTACTTAATTTTCTCTACTATTCAGAAAATTATGCAAATTTTGCTGAAACAATCTGTGCCATGTTTTTTCTTTTGCTTTTTGGAACATTGCATAATTTTAACCCTGTATATTGTATAGGAATACAACGTATAGTTATAAATCAACGTATACGTTGGTATTCATGTAAAAAAAAAATTCTACTATTATGTGCCATGATAGTAAATATGAAATACTATTAAGAATTTTTCTCAGATTTTTTCTCGTTTTTTCTTGTTGTTTTTCTTTTCAAATAAACGAAAATGTCAGGGATAAATGTATACACATAATAATACACGTAATATGTTTTTCTTGTGTATGGTACAATCATGTATACATGTATGTAAATAGGTAAAATATATGTACATGAAGAATGTTACAATTTATCTCGTTATATGCTTCCTCTTCACACACAAATAAAAAATAAATAGATTATATAAAAAAATAATTTTTTATTTTATTTTTTATTTATTTTGGAAAATAAAATTTCTATGTTAAAAAATGACATTTGTGGGAACGTGTCCAAATATTATAATTTAAATCGATGGTGAATAACGTATTGTAATTGCAATGATCAATGACCAAATCTTTAGATAGTATAATTTTAAATTCAAATATAATTAAAAATTGAATTGGAAAAAATGCCATTTGGGCTTGTCTAAACGCAACTTTATTTTAAACTCACCAGCTCCGTTTCTCATATAGTACTTTCATATCATTAGAATTGTAGAAAAAATACTTCAATTGCTTAAAAAATTTTTATGTTAAAAATATGTAAAAATTTCTTTTGCTACCTTTACTTTTAAGCAAAATTCTTTAGAATATGTCATAATCATAAAAATATGCGTACCATTAAACAAGTGTAATCAAAGACGTACCATTAATCAACTGCAGTTAATAAACAATAATTTCAATAAAACTCATCTCATTAAATTAAGATCTCACAGAGAAAAAATTTCATATATGTGTATGTGCCTACCACAAATATTTATTTATTCTTCTATAAAATATTAACATTGTACTTCTAACAAGCATTTATATGTATACATACAAACGTACATATTAATGGCTCGAACCAGGAATGATATATAATTTACAACGAACATTCTTTCAGCATCCATTTCTTTCATTTTGAATTAGATTTTTCTCTTTTAAAACATTTTTAAGAATAAGACAATGATGCTGTGGTACTCAGAAATCTAAAAATGCTTAAAGCAAAAATTTATTATTTTATTGTACTCTTCATTAAAAAAATTGAAGAGTACACAAAAAAGAGAATTAAAATTAAATGAAAAATAATAATTAAATCACAAAAATGGAATATAAAAGAATATTAGAAAAAAAAACCTTCATAATATAAAATTTAAAGAATTGATTTGTAATTAAATTTTGTTCTTCTATCTTATTTAGAATTACATATTTACTTATGTATATAAAATTATTCAATTATGTAATATATGGGAAATACAAAATCGTTAGAAAATATAAAGGGAACGATTTAAATGAACCTAAAAAATAAACTGTAGCTTGTAGTATAGTTTCAAATCTGGTGGACTGTTTGAAAGCTACATAATATATATATGTGCAATGGAAAATTAATTCTTACAAATTTCATAAACTCGTTAACGTACACTCAATTTCTGAAATAATATTAAGGCAACGAAAGCCAATACTAAATTATCAAGGAACGCGTTTAGTATGAATATTTATTCGCAGCAAATGATATCGGATATTTCATACCAAAAGATTAATATTATAAATTTCAAGTACCCTCAAAACAAGTCAAATAATTAAATTTAATCAGATCCAATAGAAGATTTCATTATAAATTTAAAAATACAAAATTTACCAGTATTTTTTTTTTTGGTATTTCCTTTTTCTAACAAAGATATTGCATAAATTAGTAAAAGAAAGATGTCGCTAAACAAGATTTAAGCTTCAAAGAAAAAATAAAAATACACACTTTTCTATTAATGCGCTACCTAGTGATTTGTAGTAAAAACATTAGAAAGTATTTATATATTAGGCCGCAGCAGCTTATACGGCTTTTTTGCAAACATAATAGCCATTATCAGGAAAATATTGGTTATAATAATATTGTAGAAATTAACAACTTTTACTGCTGAAAGCCGCTTTTGCAAGAAGGAAAATTTAATTGTAGATTTTACAATATACCATAATTCATTGCTGTTGGTATGCAAAACAATTCTATGAAAGAAGGTGGTAAAATAAAAAATCTATTAAATGTTAAGCAGTTTTTTTGTTGCTTCTAGCCGCAGCGGCCTTATAAACAAATAATAGTGAAGTTAAGTATTTAAATATTTCGACGGGGCTGGGTATTATTGCTGCATTATTTTAAGCAATCGAAAGTGTATTTTATTTCTTCAAAAAATGTAACAGCAATATGAAAAATTTTGAAACACTCTTTATTATTCACTCTTAGCACTTCGGCCCGTGGCCCTGTAGCACTGCGCGGAGGACCGAAACTCCACCGCCGTGTGAGCAAAGTGAGCGTATTTCTCTACTTACTGCGATTTGTGACCCAGAAGGTGTACTGGGATTTTTCTCTGAAATTCTTCTTTAACTATATACAATGGATTGAAAGCATTTAAAAATTAAATAAAACACTCTTTTGTATTTGAATTTTTACAATAATTTTTTTTTTAACTTATTTTTTAATATAAAATACAGATTTATTTTGGAGATTATTTTGTTCTTTTTTTTTTTTATTTTTCATTTTTATATTTATTTCAACAATCAAAGAAGGAAAAAAAGGTCAGCAATATTTTTATTTTTCGTATTTTTTAATCTTTTCCCTAATTTTAATATTTTTTTTTTACTTTTCTTGTTTTATTTTTAAATTATGTACAATAAATTAATTTTATAATTAAATTCAATTTTTTTTCTTCTATATTATTATTTTATTAATAAATTGTTGAGATTCAAAAAAAATTGTTATTTTTCTTTTTTAAATATTTTAAACTACAAAATTTAAATTATAAAATAAAATATTTTTGGAAAAAAAGAATTTATGTAAAAAAAAAATAATTATTAAGAAAATTACAAATTAGTTTTAACAAATTTAGCGACATTTAATAGAAATAATTTAAAAGAAAAATAATTCTGCCGCCATTTTACCCTGTTCAACACTTTCAAAGTTTGACATTTCACATCACGCACTCTTTTACTACTTTCATGTTTGACTCGCTTTTGAATAGTGTTTCACTCGCTGAATTCTCAGAATAAAAAAAATTTCAAACTATTAATAAGTTGATCAATATAAAATGGCGGATTCAATACAATTAATTTTTTTTTTATTTGTTTTTATAAGACTCCAAAATATTTTTTCAACATATTTTTATTTATTTTTTTTTTTATGTTTTAGAATTTTTTATTAAAGATTACTATTATACATTCATATTTCTTTTCAGCTATACATTCATATTTGTTTATACATACATATATGTATATATAATTCTATGAAATATCTATTAAATATTTCATAAAAAAATTATAATAAATTTTTAATAATAAAAAGTATATAAAATGTTATAAGTAAAAATTAAAAAAAAAATAGTTAATTAAATGTTTTAAATACAAAATTAATGAATAAATAGTAGTTATACGTAAATAATATTATATAAGAATAGTTTAAGTATGTAATTACACTTACATCAGAGTTCCATTAATACTGTATTACAACACAATTCAGCATATAATAACTAATCGCTGAATCGTGTAGTATCACAATATGGCAGCAACTCTAGTGCCTCGTTAAAATATTACAATGTAGAAATCAACAATATTTTTCAAAAAAATATGACGCAGAACAGAATCATTCTTTAATAAATAAAATTTTTTATTTCTACCATAATTTTAATTGATACAAAAAATATGGGTGCTAACCTAAATGCAAATATAATGCCAACTTGACCTATTACGAACTGTTACGGTACTTGAACTGTTACGAATTTTAATTGTCAATTATGACAAATTGGCTTTACATCTGTAATTAGGTGTTTACAATATATTTATAAATAGAATTTGAAAATGTTTGATGTGCTTAAAAGTTTAAAAATAAATAAAAATAAAAATGAATTTTAAATGAAAAATAAATACGTGAGTTTATATAATTAAATTGAGAAAATTTTCAATTTAAAAAATATTTTGGATATTTTTGAATTTGTAATTATTCGACTTTAAATTTGAAAATCAATTTTTCGATTGTAACAAACATTTCGAATATCTTTCAATTATTTGTCAAAACTATACAACATAATTTTTACAAGAGATGTATAATATTTTTAAATGTTATCTGCCAATTGACTTTTTTCTTTCTCTTTTTAATATTCAAAAATATTCAAAATAAATTTTAAATATAAATATGTCTAAGGAAATATTAAAATTTTCGTATATAAAAAAAATTAATAATAATAATAATATTTTAAGGGGATTTTGGTTTTGTTTCGTTTTAATTTTTTTTTTTACTATAATTAATAAAGAGAATTTTTTATTTAAAATTATCCACAATTAATATATAAATATACATTTTACAATTTTTAAGGCATTATTTTAGAAAATATATTTATTAATATTATAATTATATTTTTTTTTTTGTTCGAAATTTAAATATATTTTTGTTTTCTTTTCTATACAGTATCTAATTTTTGTTTACTTTTTTATTCTCGTGTCTCTATTATAAATCAGTTAACATATGCCATTTGTATACCTTTACGATCAAAATGTCGCACTCTAACAAATAGGAATGCTGCGACTAGAGATGCTACAGCTAAAACTAATAAAAGCATAACAAGACCACCCACAAAACTGGGCACTGACATACAAATTGTTTCTGAATCAACTGATCTACTTGCTGATTGTATAACAACAGTTTCATTATTATTATTGCTACTACCTAATGCAAAATTAACATCACCGGGTGCAACAACCTGTATTGTTCGACTTGTATTAACATCTGTCATTTCTTGTTCACCTTGTGTTCCAGTATCACGTTTATATATTCTTGGTTTAATAACAAATTCAAATATTTCATTGTCATCAATATCATTATAAATTTGACGTTTTCTTCTTAAACCACGTAAATCATCTAAACCTTCAACAGATCTTGGACGTCCACCACCTAATAAAATTGAATTACTATTTAATTTATCTAAATCATCTTTACGATTAACAGTACTATAACCAGAATGTCCTGGCGGTGGTGGTGGTGGTAAATGTATATCATTTGGTCCACCTTGCTGTTGTTGCTGTTGTTGTTGTTGTCCATTTTGTGGTGGTTGTGCACTTGGATTACCATTATTTGAATCTAAAAATATAAAAATTAATCAATATTTCAAAAATTAATCAATTCAATTTTTAGACTTACTTGCACTATTATTACTTTCAGAAGATGTTTGGGCAGTTTGAGCTTGGGGTGATGGTACAACATCTGGTTGATTTTCTGAATATGCACCAGATGTATCTGCTGGATGCCTTGGATCTGGATAAGCTGCTGGTGGCAAATTATAATCACTACGTTCATATTCTAAACCAGGTAATTGTGGTGGTCCATATTCTGATGAAATTCCATTACCGCCATGTGGTGGACCATATTCAGCAGAAATAGCTGGACCACCATGACCGCATTTTGGTTCAGGACAATTATATCTACATACTTGTATAACACATTGGAAATGTACATTCATTGAATCGGGGAATTTAAATGCTTGGAAATATGCAAATGAAACAACCGATGCTGATGGTCCAAAGTTTTTAATTTTTTGGAATTTACTCATTATTTTTGGCCTGACAACACATCCATGTTGGTCAACTAATTGTATTGGTGTACGTTTACCATCATGTGCAACACAATTTCTTACTAACATGTCAAATTTATTTTCATCATCTTTAATTGCCAATACCATTGTCATTGTTTGACCGATTTTAACAATTCCAGACACTTCTGATGCCCATGGTCCTTTACCAACTTGAATTTGCATCCAACATTGTAAGTTATCACCTAAGAAATTAGCTGTTACTGCATGTAACATATCAACTTGGAATGGACGGAATGTAACAGCTTTTTCATAAAAATCATACCAAGTACAACGTAATTTTCTAGCTTGATCCCATACTTCTTGAACATATGGATCATATTGTATTATTATTGTATTTTCCACATAACTACCAGATGGAGTGGGTGCACCATAGGCAACAGCATTATGATTTGCTGAACTTGTCATACCACAACTATTTAAGAAAATTTCAAACGTAGCACTTAAATGTCCGGTACCAGGTTTTAAATGTACACAATGTGTATCACTATAAAAACCTTTTGAGAATATCATACCATAAAATGGACGATCAAATTCAATATTAACTCTCATATGTGTCTTTTCACATTGTACTTGTAAATTTTTTATTTGTGGACTATCATTTGATGCTGCCAATGGCCATGGATCATCACCAACTTCATTACTAGGATGTCCACTACTAGGTAAAGCAACAGCACCACCTGCACCACCAACACCAACTCCTCCTCCACCACCTCCAGCTCCTAATAATGATTGTGCTCCATATATTGGTGATGGCGCTGGCGGGCCATAAACTGATCTGTGTTCAAGAGGTAATGAAGCTGAATCAACAAGCGGAGCATCACAGTGGGCATTCTATATATAAAGAAAAAAATAAAAATGAAAAGTTGTAGGCAAAATTATTATTGACAATATTGTTGAATTTTAAAAAGTAAAGAAAATTTTTTTATCAAACGTTAATCTTAAGGTATAAACATTTCGCAGTTTCGTTTGCACCAATTGTTTTTTGTACCACAGAGTAGATTCGGAAAAAAAAGTCTACGTATTAGAAAGATTACTTGTGAATTAAAATTTACGGTAAATTCGCTATACCACAAAAAAAATTTTATAATGATTTATTATTATTTAATTTTTAATATTCATAATTAAGTTATTAGAGTATACGGGGAAGAAAATTGATGCAATAAATTTTTAAAATAATGGATAGCGCAGTTGATATTCTTTAATCTAGTAATTACAGTTGGTGATATTAGATGGCACCGTTGGTCACTATTAAATAACATCATTTAATAGTCAGTTGATTTAATGAGAATAAAAAGAATAATACCAAAATAAAGAATGATACCAAAAACGAAATACAAATGATTTAGTGTCCGGTTGCATTTACCAACAATTCTTTGTTATATTTTGCTTTATTTCTTATTAAAATTAATATTACAGTACGTTAATACTATTGTGCACATAACATGAAAACAATTAATCAATTACTAACTAAATAATTAGAACTCGTTTATTAATTCAAGCGTACTATAGTATAAAATTATAAAATGCAATAAGAGGATCTACATGTCTTGTAAAAGTCTAGAATTTACAAGCATTTACTTATGAATAAAAACATTAAAAAAGAAACCTGTTATTATAATTATTTTCGTCTGTTATACCTTTTAAATTTATGATCTTCTTTCTTTTTTCTCTCCCTCTCTCTCTCTCTCTTTCTATCTGTTAGAACTTAATTAATAAAAATCTGATTTTTAAAAATTTCATAATATTCATATTTAGCCGTATATTTGTATGTATAATTATGTATAACAATAGCATTGTTCATATTAACTATTTTAGTATAAGAGAGTGCATGCAACATAATATTATACGGAACTATATAATTTTTCTTTATAATATGTTTATGAAAATGTACTCGTATGATATATGTATGTACCCAGATATACATGATACAGACGAGAACGTATAAGAGGATAACTGTTATACGCAAAAATTTGGAACTAGATCGACAAATCATTTACATACGGTACTTATCACATCTTAATTTCGCCAACAATTTAAATTAGAAAAGAAAGCTGTTCTATCTTTTTTTTATCAGATTAATGCAGATGAAATAGAAAACAAAAGATTTTCTCTTCAAAAGGGTTGTATGAAATTGAAAATGTTTTTATCATTTAATGTTTGATTTGACATTCCATTGGGCATACCAATTGAAAACAAATTTTTACACACGCAAACATTTAAAGTTTCAATTGTAATACAATGTGCATATTAGGAAATTTCTACAATTACAACAAGTAATTTCAGTTGCAGCCGTATGTAAATAAGTTCAATTTTAGTTAGGGAAAGGCTCAATATTTCGAAAATATGCAATTGTGTAGCGCTTTATATAAAAAATGGAATTCATGATACAGTCAAATCTGCATATGTGCAACTTCTTTTCAAAGGTATTGCACTCAATCATTCACAACTGTTTTTGTATTTTATAACAATAACATTATTTTTAATGTATACATAAATTTTGCATCATATATTTTATTATTCATGTATGTTATCTAAATAATGAATGTATGTATCTCTGATATTTGCGCTACATATGCATTTCTGTATACTCTACATAAATAATTACTTATTATGGACTGATATAGAAAGTAGAAACTAGTACAAATCAGAGCATAACTGGATTTTTTTTTCTCTTTTTCTTGTTTTTTTATTTTCAATAAAAATCTATATATAAAAATGCAACGTTTATAACCAATGCAACATGTATTGCTGTATACAAGTTAAAATATAAAATTTCAATAAAATATATTATATGGTGCAACAATATTGCAGAACATACATAATCTTCTCTCTTAAGAAAAATTCAAACTAAAATTAAATATTTTAACAAAAATTAAATGAAAAAAGAAAATAATAATGCTTTCGAAAATATTGACCAAAACAATTACTTACATTACGGTAATGGGTGTTAAAAGATATTTACGATATAAAAAATAAAAATATTTTAAAATATTCAACAGAAAAAACGAAATTTTACAATATAATATTAAAAAAATAATTAATATACAATTGGGTGGGTATGAGACAAACCTTTAATGTAAAATGTGTGAAATCAATGTTGTTTATAACAAAAAATTTAACAACTATAAATATAGGTGCAACCGTACTTAAAGTACAAATTAAATAAAATTTAAGCTTTTACTTTTATACTTTTTTCTTCTGTGTTTTTGGTTTTCTCATTCAAATCTCTTAGTTCTCATCGAAATTTTTACTTTGTATTTTAAGTTATGCTACTTTTGTTTGGTATACGTATATGTGCCCAATATTGTAAAATCAAAGTGGAACTTGTCACAGTACCAAATTCAAAAAAAAAATACGCTATGCGTCTATGATGACGAATTGCTCGATATATCTCGACAGATGGCTCTGTATTTTACTTCATCTACATTATATATAAATATGTATTATATATAAATATCCAACACTATAATATTATAAAAGTTAGAAGAGACTAAGTTTTAATTGATTAACTTAAAATTGTTATACTCGCAATTAATTTCCAAAATTAATCGACATTAATTGCATCCCTTTTAATGAAAATTAATTTATATTTTCTGAATTTCGCTTTTCTACTTAAATACTCCTATATGTACAGGCTGATGTGCTTGGAATATTTAAACTGTTATATGTCTAAACTGTTAGACATTAAAAATGTTATAATATATACCCTTAAATACAACACCAATAGCTAATACTCAACCAACAGCTGCTACTCAATATACAACTTACGTCATAAAGAGAGTAATTTGACAGTTAGTAGCATAAAAAGTACGGGATACTACAAACAATATAGTAGCATAAGAAGTACGGGATTATTATTACAAAAGTTTCTCGTTTACCTACGGGATTCAATCCTTGCTTCATATAATTTAATAATTATTTCAATATTGATAAGCTGAAACGTTACGAGTATGTAGTATATACGCAAAAGTATTAGTATAACAAATATAATAAATCACTCTAAAACAGATAGCAATACTAGCATAATGTAACACACATTCCATATGTTATTCATTTATAAGCATTTAATCAAATTAAATGTACAAGTTTGGTTAGCAATGTATATGATGTGTATGCTATAAAAGAAAATTAAAGAAGATCTGGTGAAATGGGTTATTTTTTTTTCTTTCTTTACTCTTATTAAAGACAAGTTAACACACAAAACGAAAAATAAACTAACATTTTTTATGGTGTTAAAAGCTCAATGTTGTTTTCTAGTTTTTTTCTATCACATTTTCTCTATTTATATACATACATATATATTAAATTTTTATTTAACCGGCTTCTCTTTTAAAAATAAAACTATACAACAATTTTCATTTTTAGTTTTTTTTTCTAATTCAACAACTTTTGCAGCAATCAGTCATTTAGTGCTTTCTTTTTATTCCACCATCACAGATCATAAAATTTTGCACATTTAACAAACTTTAATACCATACTTTATACACAGGTACATATTATATGCACATCTGTATACTAATACAAATGTTTTATATAAAAGTAAAGTGCCGTACCTGTAACAGTGTGTATTTTTGGACGAATTTTAAACAATTCGTTTATCACTCATAGGTAAAAATACCTTTATTTCATTGCTGAGTTATCAATAACAGGTTTTATTCAAAATTCATTTACTATTTAATTATATTATTGATTTAAATTGTTGGGGCTGCTTCTGATGTTGCGTATATTTTCATTCATTACTAAAATTTCGCAAGCTTAGGGCGTCAAACATTTGAATACGTCTCTGTTTGAAACTTGCATGATACAAGTATATACAAACTAATTTATTAGTACATAATCTTTATGAAAAATTATAAATGAAATATGATATTTAATTTTTATTTTTTTATTATGGTGTGTAAAAAGTTAGAAAGCTTGTCATTTTTTTTTAATTTTCGTTAAATTTTAAGGTATTTTTATTGAAGAATCTCCTAATCGTATTGCTCATAATATAAAAAATATTATGAGCAAACTAAATTTTAAATTTTGCGAAATTTTAAAAAAAGCCTGTATAGTATCAAAAGTGTAACATATATTATGTTATTTTCGATAAACAGCTCAAAGAAAGCTTATGATTAATAGAGGGTAATGGTATATGAGTATAATATTGCAAAATCCAAATATAATTCTTGTACATCTGTACCTACGAGTATTAAAATAACAAAGCTCCATAGAATGACAAATCTATTAGTAAACTGTAGGAGAAAAAACATAATAAATTAATAATGAAAAAAATATAATTTTCAGCACTTTTCCAACTCTAGAATAGTGAGTATTATTTATCTGGCACCATATAATATATTATAACTAAACGGTAACACTCGAAGTCATTAATATTTTAAAGCACTTTCCTTATCATATTATTTTTTGAAAGTCATGAAATGCAATTAAACAATTTGATAAAAGTGACGGAATAATGCTTATAACAAGATAAAGTCAATATTGTTATCAATTAATTATTTTTTGTTAAATTTAATATTGTTATTATTATTTGATGTAAATATAAAATTAAAGTACACTTTTGAGAAAAAATTGGTGATTATTCGTACTTCCCTAAGAAGTATTTTTCGTTGACCATCATCATTTCTACAAATGATCTATTCTACTACGTTACTTAGTCAAAAATTAGTCTATGCAGCCACTGTCTTTCTGAGCACAGAAAAAAGAAGGCAGAACACAGAAGAAGAAGGGTGCCATCAGTCGAAGGTGTTTCTTCCAAAATGCTCGGGGAAGTTCACCGCGAAGCTGTTGGGGATGAGTAGAAGTCGGACTCGCGCTATTGCCAACTTTTTCATGGACCATAGCCCAGTAAGGTGCTATCAGCATAGGTTGGGGAAATCGGGCTCCACCCTGTGCAGATTTTTCGGGGGCAGTGATGAAACTGCCGTGTACATTGTCCGGCGACGTAATTGTCTTGGACAGGGTTTCCTAAGCGTTCGGGAACTGCTATGCAACTCCCTTAGGGATGTCTCCGGTTTCATAGTTGGAACGGGGATATTGTAGGTGGGGGCGTGGGGAGGCTTCAAAAAGTCGCGAATGGCTGCGGTGGCCCGGAGATACTCCTCCCCCACTTTTCTTAGAAATCTACGGTCTACGGTCTAGTCAAAAATTTACTCTATTTCTAGCTCTACTCTATTTTACTCTATTCGATCGGGTAATTTTTTCATTCTCACTAATTTTCTACAATTTTTAGTACTGTTCTTTGGATTACCCTTTTCGATGATTTTATTTGTCCAGATAATAATTTACACGATTATTTTTTAAAAGGTAAACGATTTTTAATAAATATTATAACTAATTATAGAAAATGTTGATAAGATTAAGGAAGTTATTAATGATAATTTATCATAAACGGCACGATTCACCCTCTCCAGCATTGAAAAATAATGCTTAAAATTTTATTTAATATTCAATAAATTATATTACAACACAATATAGCTAGTATATACGAAACTATTTGTTATATATGCAATTTAAAGTTTTTTTCTTTTATTAAGGATATTATAGACCTAAGTTACATCAAACATGCTTTCCCGGAAATTTTTCTTATTATTATATAACGTATTAATAAACTAAAATTATAAAAACCTTTTAAAATTTTCTGAAAATCTTTCTATACGATAATTTTACACTGAAAAAGAAACTCATAAGCATTATGAATTTTATAAGAATTGTAAACTAAAAAATTTAAATTTTAGGGCAAATTTAAACTGGAGCACTAGTAATTTAAATATAAAGCACATATGTGTATAAATACAAGTACAATATTCTAATACGTGATTTATATAAGACATCGGTATTGTTATAAAAAATCAAAACTGAAAAGTAGAATAATATTTTTTTTTTTCAAACTTGTTTTCGCATTAATTAAAATTATAAAATTCTTAAAATATTTTCTTTAGAATTATTACAACACATGAAATGCAGAAATATGGTGTGTAACAAGTCTTTAAATACACACATACATACATATATGAAACTTCAAAATTTGTAAATATTTGCATTATACTTTATAGTTTAAGAGTAGAAAACAATGGAGTACATTAAAATACAATTTTGTGCCTGTCAGCAAAAAAGGCTTAAGTCAAATTCTTTAAGTTTTCAGTTTTATTACAGTTTTAAATTCGTTTCTATTCAGTTTATATCCTGTTAAAATTTCATTGATCTACTTAAGCTAGTTCCGAAGTTACGAGTATGAACAAAAACTTAAAAAGTTAAATTTTTTTTTTAATTGTAAAAGTTTAATTCAAACTTATTGCGCTAAGCCTATTGTGCATTTTTTTTTTTTAAATGTTCTCGAATTCATGTCATTTTCGAATTCCACAGAGGTTTATTTATATTCAGTCAAAAATTGCATGAATAATAATACACTTGGTTTCGAAATGAAAGGTAAAATAGAGTATAAAACGCTAAAATTTAAAATTTAATATAAAACAACAGTTTCATTAAAATTTATTGGAAAATCATTAAATTTTATTTAAAAATTCAAATTAGAGAGAAATTCAAATGAGTAATGCTTAACACCTTACACGGTACAACTTGTTATAATATAACAATAGTCATCATGGCTATATAACACATATTATTATAACTATTATGAGGTTGTCTATATACCTCATATGCTGTAAATTTATAAAAATTAAAAAAAAAAATAAACATAAAAACTTACCTTAAAAACTATAATAACAAATATGAAATGCGCGAGCAACAGTCGCGTATAATGTCCCATTTTTTTTTATATTAAAAAATTATTTTAATTCCTAAATTGAAAAATTTTTTTTAACAACACTTGTTAAAGTTGTTAACTTTTATTATTACGAGCGTATATTTTTTGCCTTTTAATTCGTCTTTAGTAGTCTGAAATAAAAAAAAAAGACAAAAATATTAAAAAATTTTTTTTAATTAAAAAGTCGAAAAAATTTTATTATTTTTGTTAAATTTGAAAGTGTCACACTTAATCATATAAAAGAAAGTATATATTAAAATAATAATTGGTAACTCAAATTTTCAATGTAAGAGAGAGACAGAGAGAGAGAAAGAAATGAACCGCAAAAATTCACACGATTCATTATGCATAAAATTACGCTTTTTAAACAAAAAAAAAATTTCTTTGACTTCTTAAAATTCAATTTTTACTTATTAAAGTTTTGGGTGAATCATTAAAAAAATTAAACTGAATTACGTAAGTTTTATTAATTAATTAAAAGCTAAAATTAGTTTAAAATTTTTTTTTCTTAAAGTTTTGAAAAAATTCTACAAAATTAAATACAACAATCTAAAAACTCTATTTTTGAAAATTTGCTCTGCAATACCAATGAATTAAGAAACAAGAAAATTCACACTTAAACTTTCAATGAAGATTTAAGCTTCTGTTTTTTTTGAAAATTTTTGAAAAATTTCCTCAAAGTGGATAAATAAATTTCCTAAAAGAGGAATTTTAAGGTAAGACATTAATAAAAAACAAAGAGTTTGGTGGTATATAGCAATGAGTCACAGTTTAAAAAATAATAAAAAAAAAAAGTAAAAAAAATTTATCAAGCGAAACCATAACATTTATTGTGAAAAATCTTTAATAAGATTTTCAAACCTCAAACGTTTCTACAAATATTATGATTTCAAAAACTGTTCTAAATATTTCGATGAATAGTATAAGAAGACAGTGTCTCTGATGTCCGAGTAATTTAATTTAACTTTGAATTTATCCAGATTTCTAACAAATAATGATTTCTATTAACATTAATGAAAAAATTCTTATCTCTTTTGTATCAGCTCATAAGTCATTATTTATACTTGTTATCAAAAATAATTCATGATTCAACTCACAATTATTACTCATTAATGAAATATTCATTAATTTATTTAAATTAAAATCTTTTAAAATTTCATTTTTCGCTAAATAAATTTTTTTTTGATAGATGTAGCATCGAAATTAAAAAGGACAGGAATAAAAGAATATACCAAATAATAAAATTATTTAAAATTAACTTACGGACGATATGAGTAATACTGTCCATAAAAATTAAGTTACTGATACAAAAATCCAAATTTAACTTAAAGTAATAGTTGCATACTAACGGACTAATTCCAATAGATCAGAAAATAAATTAAATAGGAAATTTTAATAGCATATCTACCTTTTATTTAAAAAAAATTTTTTTTCCTTTATTTCCTATATAATCCTTTTTTGTTTTTGGTAGTGAAATACCACACTATTGCACTTTAAAATTATTAATTAAAATTATTATACGATTTTCAAATTATTCAAATTCGAATTAATTTTCAATTCTATTTAACATAAAATTAATTTTAATTTTTCATTATCATTAATCAATTCCAATATAAAAAATTTAATTTTTCACTTAAAAATTGCACTGTTAATTAATTTTTTTAATTTTCATATTTTTCTACATTTTATTAAATTCCAATTTAAAATTTTCTTTTTCTTTTGAAATTATAAATTTTTTATCGTTTCTCATGAAAATTTCATTATGTACTTATATATATGTAAACCTATATACACATTTATTTATTTTTCTTTCATAATAATAATAAATAACAATCGTATTAGCAACATCTAAAAAAACCCAAAATAATTCAAAATAGTTGATAAAATTAAATCATAAATTAGGCATATTTTAAAAATCAAAATTTCGCACTATTGTAACAAAAAAAAAATAAAAACGCCGTAATAACAGCGAAATTAATTCACAAAAAAAATTTGAAAAACGGAGAAAAAAATTACAAGAAAAACTTAAAAAAAAATAAAAATAATAAAATGAAATTTTAAGCGAAATTTTTTTTATTAAAACATTAAATTACGTTATAGTTTACAAATTTTACAAATTTTCTATTATAAAATTCCAGTTTTTCTTAAAAAAATTAAAAAAAAAAATAATAACAAAAAGAAACCACTACATTTTCACAATTTTTTTATATTTCACCGTTGTCATTTCTACACACCATTGGAAAGTAATAAGCGAAAAAACTTCACAAAAAAAACGGAGTAAACGGAATTAAAAAAAAATTTTTTTTTAATAAAATAAAACATCAAATTAATAAAAAAACAAAAAAAAAATAAAATTCAAAAACTAAAAATGGAAAGAAAAAAAAATTAACCGAAATGAAAAATTGAAATTTCACCACCCGTCCGTGTTCTTCTTGTTAAAAAATTTCATTACCAACTTATAAAATATCTCGAGATAAACTGATCATTTTCCATTTGATATTTTCAGATTAAACCTATCTCACAACGACCTTCTTCTATACATACTATATGCCATACTCTACCACTATCCGTTAATAATAATAATAACAATAAGAAAAAATAACAAAAAATAGTAATCAAAATTACAATCATTATCAATAATTTTTTTTTTAAGTAAATTTTCAATTTTTTAATATACATACATACAACAATTTTAATGCAATCATCATCATTATCATCAGCAACAACAATAATAATAACAACAACAAGAGCAACAACATGATTATCATCTTGTTAATTTCATATGATCATAATCATCATCATTATCAATATTCATAGTTTAAAAAAAAAGAAAAAAAATGACAAAAGAAAGTAAGAAGAAGAAGAAAAAAAATTTTTTAATTTTTTGCTAGAGCGGACAACCATATCTGTAAGAAGAAACATGTGTTCCTGTGTGTGTAATTTTATATTCAAAAAATTCTCTCTTTCATATTTACATTTTGACGTCATTATCAACATCATTTTCATTATCATTACCATTGTCAAAATTATAAAAACTTTATTTTATACGAAAATTTTCAATTATCATTTAACATTTTTATTTATTATATATTTATATAATCATTATTATATAGTCATTATTAATTACAAAATTTGTAAGTAATTATTATTTTGAAAAAAAAACAAAATTCTGTCAATATTTATTAATTTATTTATAAATTTAGTTTATTAAATTATTTATAAATATTTATAAATTTAGTTAAATTAAATTTGACATTAAATGACATTAGATTACTTTTCTTTTGTTTTATTTGAAATTTTTGAATTTTCTTACTATTAATTGAAGTAGTTGTAATTATGTACGTTCATTATTATTAAAATAATTGTAATAAAATTTGATTTTTAATTAAATTCAATATAAAATTAAGTTTAATTTATTGATTTCATTGTTGCCATTTTTGGGCTATTGTAATTAAGGAAATAATTAGTGTGTAAAAAAATGTGTTTTGTTTTCTCTTTATTAATTATTTTATTTATTAATTTCGAGAAAATGAATGTGCTTTCAGAGGACAACAAGAGAGAAAGAGTAATAATAACTTTTTGGTGAATTATTTTGAAGATTAATGTAATATGGAGCTTATTTAATTGGATTTTCTATTTTTAATTAATATGAATTTAACAAATGACTTTACAATTTATTAATTGATTTAATAATAACTTTTTCATGATATCAAAAATTATTAATATTATTAAGTAAAATTTTCTTAAAAGTAATTAGATTAGAATTCCGGCTTGTTCGAATGAGGGCCGGAAAAGGAGAGAACCGGTGGTTCCACAATCTATGTGTACCTTTCGAGAGGCATCGTTAACCTAGCCTAATTAGATTAAAATAAATAAAACATAAAAAATGATTAAGATAGTAAAAATCGAAAACTCCAAATCGAGGAAAGAAAGTTTACGTGTCGACCAGTCAGAGTCAAAATGAAAGAACAAGAGTCGAAAATTTGAGATTTAAAATTCGACTACGAAGTTGTAATTAATGAGTCAAAACCGAAATTCAAGATAAAGAGTCGGAATTGGAGAGTTGGAATAGATGGTTGTCTTCCCCAGCAGATAACATGCTGAATTAAACAATTAGAACTTATTTTTTTTTCTATTTATTTTTGTATTGTTAGAATTTAGTTCGAACTTAAATTTAAAATTTAAAAATGAAAACAAAATATAAAAAAAAGGGAAATGGAGTCGGGTTCAGATTTATCAGATGTACGTACAAATGAAATTATCAATCTTCAACTCTGAACATATAAAAAATTTTTAAATAATTAATAAAAAATGTTAATTTTGAAAAATATTTGAAAAATTTTAAACTTGACAACTAATTAAATCTTTGCAAAATTGAAAATTTAATTAACATCAAAAATTCAACATACCATATTGTATTCCACCTTTATGTCATTATGCTGTATTTATTTTATTGACAGTTTATACTGCCATTATTTTAATATTAATATATAAAAAAAAAAATTTAATATAAATTTGAAAAATAAATTTTCTCTTTCAGTCTTTGATTATTTATTTTTAATTAGTTTTTGTGGTAAGAAAAGATTTAAAAGCAAAAAAAAAAAATAGGCTGCAAAAATTTGAAATTTTTTTTGAAATTTTTATTAAAAAGAAAATAATTTTATATAAAAAAAATATTTTTATTATTAAATTTTTTTTTTTTTAATTATTAATTTACATTTTTTTTATTAACTTTTTATTCATTGATCATAAGTTCTGGTAATAAAGAAGAAAACGAACATTTTACAACCACATTAAAATTGAATTGAAATACCATGAACGAACCATGGTTCGTTAAATCTTTAATATGTAGGTACGCAAATTTATAAGGTCATAATGTGTTATAATAATAAAAAAGAAAATAAAAACAAGTAATAGGTTAATTAAAAAAAAAAAAACAGTTTCTGATGAAAGTATATAAAAAATTTTCTCTATATATGAGAGTCAATTGTGTGTCACTAAACCATTTATTTATTAACAAATTTTATTCTTAATTACAATTTCGGCATTTATACAAAGGAATATTTTTCTACATACTTTCAAT